ATTCCTGTGCTCTTGTCCATATTGCTGTAATAGGTGTTCAAAGTTGAAAAATTAGAACGTTCGAAAAAGTTTGGGGAATCTATATGTAATACGCGTTCCTTTTATGAAACAACACAAATGCAATTCGATATTAGAAAACATCGAGATTTCAGATTTTTTAGCGACAATTATTAGTTTACTTGATAATTTAGGATTTATATTAGATTTTTTATAAAGCAAGATGTTCATTTGCGCATGACATTTATTGCATAAAACATACATTTTCATATTTAAAAATATGATGATAATAATAATGTCGAAGAGGTTTATTTATTATAAATATTTATTTTTTTTTTGTAATTAATTTTCAATTAATTTGTAAATCGTATTGTTGTTGCAGGAATTATGTGTTTTGGAAGGCGTCAAGAAACTGCTGGTGGAAAGATGCCAAGCGGCGTGGGAGAAGATCAACCGTTTGGAGGAGGTCAGATTCAAGTTGACTCTGGACATTAACGATAAGCAGGAATCCATTGAATTGGACAAAGATCAATTAACGTTGGATAAGAACTGCGCCAACATCAGCTACAAGATTGATCCTCTCAGGATTGCTAAAAAGTAGTTAAAAAATGAGAAATATTTAGCTTTCAGTTGATTCATTTATAATTTTTTTTTCATTATTGTAGTTCTCTTCCGTACGAGACTTGGTTGGAGCATTCGAAGTATACAAAATTGCTTGCTGACAATGAGCTGGCCGATACTAATAAGCTGAGGGAGGCGATGTTCGTGATGAGGGAGAGGGCGAGGAACGATATGCAGGCGCAAAGGGATCGCGTCGACTTTAGCTTGAGGAAGCGGATCTACGAGACGCAGAGGGCTCGCAACGAGCTGGAATGGCAGCTGCTGAAGATGCGCGAGGAAATGGAGAAGGTGCAGAAGGAAATCAAGACGCTGGAAGATGCCCTCGAGGATAAGACGGACGCGCGCAAACTGTGCGAGACGCGTCTGGAGAACAGGACGTACCGGCCGGGAGTCGAGCTGTGCCAGGACGAGGCCGAAATCGGGCTCAAAGATGAGGTCATGCAGCTGCGGCAGACGCAGCAGGATCTGATGGACAAGATCAACTGCGCGAAAGCCACGTACAACGCGCTCGAGGATCAGCAGGTCCTGATCGAGATCGACCTGGGGAACAAGTCGCAATCCTTGATGACCGACATTCGATGTCTGGATCTCAGGGGTCGCCTGAAGACGGGCGGAAACGTTTCCGACACCGACAGGAATATCCAGTTGACACAAATGGAAAAGGAAATTCCGCCGACATAAATTGAATCTTTTCATTCCACGAAAATTCGTAGTGTAGTTTGTGTGCGCGTGTATTATTGTCAAGTCTGTAATTAGTAACGAAATTTCATTATCATTTACGTCACGCTTTTGCATCTCAACAATTTACAACACATATATTTATATATAATGGGATACAAAAAAATATAATTAACTTTGGATTTAAACAATAATCATATTAAACTAGATGATAGAGAAGTAGTTGGGGTCAGGAAAGTACAAAAAATGAGTGCAAGTTTATAAATAGATATTTTTGCATAAAATTCAACGAGTATCAAAAAATAAACCTAAACCACATTTGTACTCGACTTGAATTGTTCTTCCACATCCACATTATGTCATATCCGACCACAAATGGTCGGTCCGCATCAAACAAATTAATACATATATTTATCTATAAATAAATAAATAAATTTAAAAAAAAAACTGTGGGGATTTTCGTAAATAAATGCAACTGTTCGACGCGGGTTTTCCTTTCCATATTTTTCTTTTATTAATGCTACAATACACACACACACACTTATTCCACACGTTTGATAATTATGCATCAATTAAAATGCTCTCACCGCATCGGACGTTTTCGTTTTCCTTCCCGACATAAAGTGTATATGATCATTGAAATTTTACGGTTATCGTTTTCAGGTTTCCAAGAAAACGTTAGGCAATTTGATTCTTGTATTTTGTGTATTGAATTTACGTATTTGGTGGTTTCTGGTACAATTAAAGTACAAAGTCGAAATCGTCGCGACTAGATTACAAAATGTAGTTCGCAGACATCTGAACTAATTGTGGTTTTCAATTAAGAAACATTTAATTATATGCGTATGTCAATTTGCAACTATTGTGACTATAAAACTGTTATAGTTTGATAAACATGAATAATCAATTGTCTCGTGGCTTATACATTTACGAAAATGAAAAAATACTTGAGGATGCAATTACTAACATATTGCATACACATTCGAAGAAACCATAGCAATGTGCGAATATTCGTTACATTTCCGAAACATCTTGATTTCGTGTATGCATCTTTCGGATTCATTCTATCTATTACAGATTCTGACAAAATCAATGAAATGTGAAACACTGCTTTTTCGAGCATTTTTTTAAAATTTGAACACGAATTACAGCCATACGGATACAACCACAGTAATATATCAATACTTGCTACATTCCCCAAACATTCAGCTTTCATATTCATCTTTTGGATTAATTCTATCTATTATGGTTTTCGAGAAAATCAATGAAATGTGAAAACACTACTTTTTCGAGCATTTTTTTTAACTTTGAACGCAAATTACAACCATACGGATACAACCACAGTAATATATGAATACTTGCTATATTCCCCAAACATTCAGCTTTTATATGCATCCTTTCTATTATAGTTTCCGAGAAAATCAATGAAATGTGAAACACTGCTTTTTCGAGCATTTTTTTAATTTTGAACTCAAATTACAGCCATACGGATACAACCACAGTAATATATGATTACCTGCTACATTCCCCAAACATTCAGCTTTCATATGCATCTTTTGAATTCATTCTTTCTATTATAGTTTCCGAGAAAATTAATGAAATGTGAAACACTACTTTTTCGAGCATTTTTTTAAATTTGAACTCAAATTACAACCATACGGATACAACCACAGTAATATATGAATA